TATATATATATATATATATATATATCTTCCTTTTATGTAGGTACAAACCTTACTTCAGGGAATGCAGGACAAATTTCAGGGTATGTCAGATCAGATTCTTGCAAGAAATATCCTTTCAAATGAAAATTGCAAATTTAATTTTTAATAAAGCTTTTCTTTTCTATAACAACTTGAATATTTATTATTTACTTTGTAGGTTATCTAACTTAAGTTGAAGTTTATATTAGTAATACTTTGATACTTCTGAATGTAAAAAAAAGCAAAAGTCTATTAGATATCAGTGCATGTATGTCTATTACAGGCATGTAATGAAATATATCCATTTATGTAAATTAAAAATTACTTTTCATGAAAAAATTACAAATATGCAAGTTAAGCTTCATTACACTTTACAAAGGTTTAAACTGCAGGAAACCTTGTGTTGTATTAAGATAACTTAAAACATATGCTTGTGAATAATTTATTAGACAGAACAATGTGTAAATAACAGTTTAAACATACACTAGTTAAGTTAGTAGAATAATATTTGTGTGCGTGTCAGCTTACATCATAGCATAATCTCTCAAGAGCGAGAGTGTATCAGATATAGCTAGAAACAATTAGAAAAGTCAGAAATGTGGTTAGAATAGTATGAAAATAATATAATTTGATTTAAAATGACATTCAAAATAGTATAATTTCATCATGGTCTTTTTCATAAAACTTCTATTTGATAATATTTTCAAGTTTCCACTTAATCATTTTTGCAGTATATTTAGCTCTAATTATAAAAGTATTTGAATTGCATTATTTTTTATTTATTTATATGCTTTCTTGAAGTTGTATACAACACTTCATTTGTGTTGATATTAATATTGTACAGTTCTTTAGTATATATTTAGTTGTGCTAATGCTGTTATATAAATTTTGCTAACAATTTTAAATGTGTATATTCAAAATTCATATGAATAATATTTTGTCAATACTGTTGGGTTTAGATTAATGTTTATTCAGAAATTATATGATGAATGTTTTTGTGACAATTTGAGATACAGTTTGTGATCTGTTTTCAATACATCAATATTCAGAATTTATTTGTTGACCCATTGTGTTTATCTACAAGATTCGGATCAGACAGGATTGTAAAATAATTTTGTTACTTTCTCGACTCTCTGTGACATTATTTCTTTGCCAGTATGTAAAGTTACACACTCAACAACTAAGCATTATCAAATCTAGTTTATAAAGTTAGGTAATGTTATAATGTTTTTCTTGTATTTATTTAAATGTAGAAAATGATTCACTAAAAGTGAAGTTACCCAACTGATGACCTTAGGCAGAGTGGCCATTGAGGCTTTTTGTGGTTTGCCTGTCACTTGTAATTAAAACTAATTATTATTAATTTTTCTTGAAGATGTTTAACAACTCTTCTGCTAGAAGTTATAATTCTGTTTTGTAGGAAGTTTCCTCATGGCAAGGTATGCATTTTATTAGAGTGGTCATAGAGGCTTTTTGTGGTCTGCCTGTCATGTCACTTTTAATTAAAACGAATTATGATTTTTATGGAAGATGTTTAGCAACTCTTCTGGTAGAAGTTATAACATAATTATGTTTTGTAGAAAGTTCTCTCATGGCAAGGGATTTATTTTATCCCAAACTGTACTTAAATGAAGCTAACATTACAAGTTCACATAATTGAAATTTATTTTATTCTTAAGGAATTTTATTTTTTAGATACACTTAGTTTTCACTTGCTAAGAAACATAATGAAGTATAATAAGGGTATTATCTTATCCTGTGTACCTAATATTTAAATGAAATTTATGCTGTTTGCACTGTCATTTTAAAACTTAACAACTGGTGATTGGTAACTTTAATGAGGTTTACATACCATGGCCAAACTTTTTATTTATATAGTTTTTCTTTTGAGAAATGTTATTTAAAATTTAATGTTTTTATTTAAATTATCATTCATTTATTTAAAAGTCTATTTAACTAAATGTCAATGTAGTATGGATTTGTAAGTTACATGTGTAAACCTAGTATTTATATTTTTTATTAAAACATACAAATATAATGTTCTTTTGTATGAGTTTGTATAATAGATAAAAACATATGTAAAAATGACTCGTTGTACCTTAACATGTTATACTTGATGAAATGGGTCACAGAATTGATGATCTAGAGAAAAACATAGCTGATATAATGATGCAGTCAGGTACAGAAGAAGGAGACAAAGGTGTTTCTGGAAGTTGAATGGACTTTTGTTTGTCAAATGGGAAGGTGTCATTATAAAAACAGTATTGAACAGTTAACAGTGATCTTATGTGAGTTTTCCATTTTCTTGTTTTACAATATATTTCATGAAGTTTCTATCAGGAGCCAGAAGTTACGAAGAAGAATGCCAATATAGTACTGCACTATCAATTATACCTAGTATAGGGTGTGTTCCTGGATCAGTGTAATGAGGTAAAACTTGAGTGCTTGTTAAGTATTATGCATGTAATAATCCCTAAAAACATTTACTGAGCTTTGTAGTTTGATTTATTTTTGTTATTATACGAGGAATCAAAATTATTATTGAGCTCCTCTGTATATTTGTTGGTTGATTGTTATAATATTTCATCAACAAATTAGTACTTTGTTGACATTGGATGTTGTGTGCTATAGATAAGTCCACATCTTATTGTTGTTTCTTTACTTAGGATGTTGACTTCTTGAGAAAATAAAAGCTAACTGAATTTTAAGAAATTAGATTTTATTGCAAGAAGTTTTGTGGAAATCACTATTACATTTTAAGTTAATACATGTATATTTTTATTTAATATTTTTACATTTCTGATTTTGGTTCATTAATATAATATAGATAGTTAAAAATCTTCAGGTGTTGCTAAGCATTTATTTTTTTTATTTTTTCTAAGCTGAAACTTGTGTACAGTGGTGTAGAAAACTTAAGAAAATTATGAAGGAAATTATATTTTTTTTTATAGTACAATGTTACAAACTTGCATAGAGATACTGTAAAGGTTTGTTTTCAGATATTTGATTTTGTAGATGGTCTTATTCATATTGGTTTTTGTCCTGTACGAATATAATTATTGCTTCCAAAGGTTTTATTATTATATTTATACAGCCTATTGAAATTTAAAAAATCATCCTAAACAAAACAACAAAATATGAAAATATAGTGGTTTGTTCTATTTTAAATTATTTATGGTTTATGAAACAGTCACTTTTTTGTGAATAAATTACTGAAATAAAAAGATTTCAGCTTATTCATATGTGTTTGTGTATGGTAGGCAACATCATTATATCTTTATTACCTGAAACTACAGATTAACATCTTAAATGAAAGTTCAAAGATACAGCTTTTGAGTGGATAATTTATTTTTATTTAACTTTTTTTTACAATGTTTTAACCAGACCACTTGTGTGGCCATCATCAGGTAACTCTCTCTATTTCGTGAAATACAGTGCAAGCATTTTGTTTATATTTGTGGATTTTTTTAGGTTAGGAGATGAATGTGTTAGTGACTGTAAAAACAGAAGTGGCTTATATTTGTTTATATTTAGAAAACATAAAGGGTGACACCTGTGTTTTGATTTAAATTAGGTTTTAGTTCACGAATAATTAATGTCTTCTTTTATTTTTCTACTATTAATTTTGTTCTTCTTACATAATATTTTAAAGTTGTTAATGTTAACTAGATGTTGATTTGTTGTGCTGTGTTCATAATTGTGTGATGGGGGATTATGCTCTTTGATACTAATGATTATGTTGCATCCCGTTTCACCTATGTAAGTGCTATTGCAACAATCCATTGATACTAGTAGATGCTTCTGTCATTGAAGTTGTCAGAATAAACCTTCTTAAGATGAACTTTGATTTTAGTGCTCGGTTTTTGAATAAAAGTTACTTTGCTGTATATTTTGTGTTTTTTGGTGCTATTTTCTAAATGTTTATAATGTTTTTGGTTACATAGCTATATGTTTTCTAAACTTGAACAGAATGCTCGAGCAGTATTTTACAAAATGGAGACAGTTATCTGATTATGACCACACGAGTGGTCGAAATATTGTAAAAAAAATTTAAATAAAAATAAATAATCCACTCAAAAGCTGTATCTTTGGACTTTTATGTAAAGTGTATAATAGATTTTTTTTCCTCACAACAAGATTAACATCATGTTTTTAACTTTTATTATTTGATGCCAAAATCAAATCATATGAAAGAAAGATGTGTTTTACATGATTTGATATGAATTGAATACATATATAAAAATGCATTGCAGCATGTCCTGGTGTTATATTTACCAGCTTCTAATGAAAGATGAGAGAGTAAACTTTTATACTATCTGGCTTATTTTTTTATGAACTGCATTTGCCTGAGGCTTAGAGGTGAGAATGTTTCAGACTTTCTTCTGTGGCTTTCATCAGTGCTTGGTCGAGGAATGTACGTCCTGATAAAAGATTCAAAAATTCATGTAGACCAAAAGTTCTTCCTCAACATTCGGGCAGATTTAGCCCATAAATGCTTCAATGGCATTGCTGTTATCTCTGCCAAAAGTCTTTTTAAAAAGATGTTAAAGGACTTGCTGACCTATACTTTATTTCATACTTAATCTGTGAATTTAAACCTATCAAATTATTTTGAAGAGTTTTTTTAAGTTAGGAGAGATGAATGTGTTAGTGACTATAAAAACAAAAGTGGCTTATATCGAAATAAAGTTAAAAGGACGCACTTGTGTTAAGCTTCAAAATTTTACAAGTTAACAATTTTAGCCAAAGTTTTTCTAGTTATAGCAATTATAGTGATTTTAAATTGTTATATTACAAGGAGAATCAAAATAAGAAAATGTATTATATTTGATTGAGAAAATGTTACATATATTTAATTAGATGTGACTTTTTTGGTTTGTTGTACTTTTTTTTTAATGTAATATTTATGTAATAAATGTATATTTATATATCATACACCTGACAATTTATGAAGCCTTATTTTTTTTGTCTGTGTCCCTAAATGAACGAATTAGCAGCATATAGTAACTATATTTGTGTAGGAGTTGTAGGTTTTGTAGTTTTGCAATGATGTATTATCAAAGTGTTTATAAAATACTCCTTTAATTGCTTTAGTGAAATAGAAATGTTATTTTTATGGCTTTCATGAATTTTATTTTTCTTTTCAATTCTGGACTGATATGAACTTTGTTGGGCTAGGATTGGGCTAGTGGTTAGCATGTCCATACTTTGGATCTGAGGGTTCATGATTCATTTCCTGCTTCCACAAAAACATGCAGAGAGACTTACTGCTTTTCTATTGTTTCTTCTTCTTTTTCTTCCAAACACTTTTCAGTTAACAGCCATTCCTTCATTTCTTGGCAGATTGACTTGAAACTTAGTAGTGTTATACGTTGGTGCAGTATGGCTTTTTCAATTTTTTTTGTTAGACCTTTTTAAGGATATTATGGGGTCACAGGTCAAACAACCCAAAAATGTATATTTTGAGCTCCTGTGCAGTCATATTTACAGTAATCAAGGTGAAAGTTGGTACAATTATAAATGTTCATGTGTCCAACAGTTGACAAAGAAAAAAAAATGTAATTTTGCTCAAAATTTTTGGGTTTTTGGTCTACAGTTCCTACACATTGACAAACAAAAATGGTAGACTAGTAATTATAGGGAGGTCAAGATGCTACAAAAAAGCATAATTTTATTTTTAGGGCTTTTGACAATTACTCTGCCCTATTTCACAGTTTACATGGGATTTGGTAGAAAGATACTTTTTTTTTACAGGTCCAATACACATACACACAAAAACCTGTGATATGCCTATTTTTGGTCATTTTAGTGGTGTCAAAAGGTTAAATAAACCTTTAATTCCAGGGGGTTTGGTCAATTACTTAGCCTTGTTTCGACAAATTTTCATGGAATTTGGTACACCGATACTTTTCCACATACAACACACATTCACAAAGAGGAATGTTGGATTTGCCATTATTAGTAATTATAGGGGTCAAGATGCCACAAAAAGTATAATTTATGGTTTTTTGACAATTACTCTGCCGCATTTTGGCCAATTTACATGAAATTTGATAAAAAAGATACTTTTTTAAAAAGTGTTATACATATAGACGCAAAAATCTGGGGTATTCCCATTTTTGGTCGTTTTAAGGGGAGTGAAAAAGTTAAACAATTTTTTGGGATTTTGGTCCATTTCTTGCCATATTTCGACCAATTTACGTGGTATTTAGTACAAAAATAGTCTTTGCAGGGCCCAAACAGAAATGTAGACAATTTTGGAATTTTTGTCTTTTGCTTAACTTTCAAAGAGGAAAGCGCAATATAGGATTTCGTGAACTATTTTTGCGTTTGTCAATCAACTTACGTAGTAATTGGTAAAAAGAAACCTTCTTGTTGGTCCGAAGCAGTAATATAGACAGTTTTGGATTTTTCTTGTGTCAAAATTGACCATGTTGGAATTGCGTGGTGGAGACATGTTGCATTCGTTCTCGTGTGATGGACTCTTCATTACAAAAGAAATAATTTTTTCCCTATCCCCCTCTTATATAACTAAATATGTATTTACTGGGTAATTCTGATTTCTTGCTAGGAAATACTCCTTCGTGTCTGAGAAGAAACATTGCCAAGACATTTGGCAACAGCGTCTCCACAGAGATGGCAGCACTGTGCTTTTAAGAATAACAATTGCTTTTCCATTTATCCCTGTTAAAAAGAAAGCGTTTGGCTTATTTTGTTTCTTGAACATACTTTTTCGCGGCCCGGCATGGCCAGGCTAGGGGCTCAGCTCGCAATCTGCGGGTTCGAATCCCCGTTATATGCTCGCCCTTCCAGCCGTGGGGGCGTTATAATGTGACAATCAATCCCACTATTCGTTGGTAAAGGAGTAGCCCAAGAGTTGGGTAATAAATGTAAGCTTATTGTTAGATGTACACGACTGTTTCAATTTAAGTTTAATGCGAGTGTTATAATTTATGTAATTTATATAGCGCGAGTGTTAAATTTAGTTATATTTAAAAGCAATAATTTATCGTAAGTTTGTTTACGAATCATACTGTTACGACAGCGGAAGTCACGTGACGCTAGTAACACGTCATGAGATTTTAGAAGGATCATGTCTGTACCTGGCAACTCTAGTCTTTTCTACACGCCCTCTATTTTTGTATATATAAGCCGGCAAATGAAGTGACGATATAGGTAATTGCAGACAGGCAGGGATAGAGACGGACAATTGAGTCAAGCGCGGTAGTGACCATAAGTAAAGTGCGTGAATCATTGTGAATTATAGCGTGTATTTAAGTTAAAGTGACTGTGGAAATTAAGTGTATTGCAAAGTTGTATTGAGAAAGAATAAACTAGTTTTATTT